TAAAGATTAAAATAATAATAATGTTGAACTTTTTCATATATTAATTTGTCATTTATATTTCTTCATTTGTGAAGTGTATATTCATCTCAGATGCCCGTTTTTGGATTGAATTTTGGAGGCCTGCTTTTTTTCAATTTTTCATATGTCCTAGATAGAAATCCTTTAAAGGACAGTTCAGTATAATTTTTTCCCAATCCATGGCTTTTCTTTATTCTCTGTTGGTGATTTCTTTTCATGTGCAAAAACTTTTCAATAGGATGAGATCGTCGTTGTTGATTCTTTGAAGTATTTCCTGTGCGGTTTGATTTTGTTCATGAACTCTGTACCTATCCCTATGTCCTTAAGATTTCTACCTACTTCCTTCCAAAAGATTTAGTGCTTCCATTTTAATATTTAAATCTTTGATCCATTTTGACTATAACTTTGTGCATGATGATAGACATGGGTCTATTTTTAGCCTCTGGCACTGGAAAGCCAGTTTTTCCAGCATCATTTATTGAAGAGGCTATCTTTCTTCCAGTGAACATGCTTGGCCCCTTTGTCAAAGATAGGGTGGCTGAGTGTGTGTGTAGTTGCCTGTGGATCTTAAAATCTGTCCTCCTGATCCTCAGGTCCACTTCTTTTGCCAGTTCCATGCTGATTTTATCACAGTAGCTTTGCAGTATAATTGTAAGTCAGGATTGTGATGTCTCCTTCCTTTCCTTAGTTACCCAGGATTGCTTTTACTATTCTAGGTCTCTTCTGGTTCCCAGTGAATTTTAGGGATGCTTTTCTAGCTCTGTGAGGTATACTAATGCTATTTTAATCAGGATTGCATTGAACCTGTATAACAATTTTGGGACTATGACCATTTTCACAATGTTGGTTCTTCCTTTCCAGAAGCAAAGATATTTTTCCATTTTCTGAAATCCTCTTCAATCTATTTCATCAAAATACTACAGTTTTCACTGTATAAATCTTTTACATTGTTTGTGAAATTGATTCCTAAGTATTTCATTTCGGGGGGTATTATTGTGAAAGGCATGGTTTCTATGATTTCTCTCTCAGTGCATTTGTTGTTTGTGTGTAAAAACACTATTGAATTCTGAGTGTTCACTGTATATCCTGCTATGCTGCTGAATTTGGTTATTAAATCCACGAGTCTCTTAGTGAAGTTTTTGGTGTCTTCTGTGTACAGCATCATATCATCTGAAGAGGATGATAATTTCATCTCTTCCTTCCCAGTCATTATGCCTTTTTTTTTCTTTCTCTTGTCTCATTGCCCTGGCAAATATATACCCAGAGCTATATTGAACAGGAGTGGCAACAGTGGGCATCCTTGTCTTGTTCCTGCTTTTAAAATAAAGCTTTCACTTTTTGTCTATTTGGTATGATTTTGGCTGTTGGTTTGTCATAAATGGTTTTTATCAGATTGAAGTAAAGACCATCTATTTCAATTTTCTGTAGGGTTTTTATCATGAATGAGTGTTGGACTTTAGACATCATGTAGTATTAACTTGAGCAAGAAATTATTGGAGGGAGAATATGATATAAGAAGAAAATAATTTTGTTTTGTCTGCTAGATTAAGTTTCAGATTGTTAGAATCAGTGTGTCAGTCCTTGCTCCCTCCATTATTTTTGAGCTAGTTTTTAATGTCTTAAAAAAATGAACCTGTGTAATAAAAAGTACTATTTTACAAAGGAAATTAATGTATCCTTAATGGATTCTTTCTAATCATATTGTCTGTGGCTTAAGTGTATACACAGGCTTCCGTGGCACACTATTCATTTATTTAGCAAACATTTTGAGCTTTTTTGTGTGAAACACTACACTAGCACAGGGGTAGAAGGGCAATAAAAGAAAATCTTGCACTAGAAATGCCAGAGGGAGAAGTCACATAAAAGATTATGGGAGGATTTGATTTATAATAGACATGCATAACGTTATTTTTAAGGTTAGGAATAGCAAGGGCTGATTGATTTTTTAACCATACAAAGTAGGTACATAAAGCAGAGTCATGTTTTAACCTGAGCAAAGATAAATCGAAATTTTTATCTGTGCAGACTCTGTCTCTTGCTAAGCCCGAGTGATGAAATCCCCATGGCTGACTCAGTTTTGGGCCTTCTGAAGTGGCTGTTTGTCACATAATCATCTTCTCTATGTTTCAGGTTCCTCCATGACCCATTGAGAAAATGCACTTAGAATCTAAAATATAATTCCAATGAAATTATTAATTATTTTAATAACAATTTTAAATTATTATTAAAAACAATTTTACAGTCAAGTAAAAATTTGTTCTTGTTGTTGCTGTTAACTATTTTAACCTGAATTACAACTAATATTATACCATGCGTAAATGGCAGTGGCGTATATTTTGAAAGTTCAAATATTGTTTTCTTTGTTACAGGTTTCTTTTCTCCATGGAAAACTCCAAAGCCTGTGAGTCGGAATTGTTATTCTTCTTTCTTTGTTTCCAATTACTATACAGTCTCACGAAATGAGGGTCGAATTGAATGGCCTTGAAATTTCTTCCACTTGTGAGAGCCTGTGATGTCAGAAAAAAAATATCCTGAGCTACCTTATATTTGTCCCCCAAATCAAAGGCCAGCTCATTTGCTTTCATATAAAGAGAATCATTACCATTTTAAAACATACTTACAAAATAAACATACTGTTCAGTATGGTGTCATGAGAATTTTTAGAAACCTTTCATTTTTCCTGTCTCACGCACACTATATTGGCTTTGTAATGTGGAATTTTTTAAAGCACTTTGAACTGTAGGCTCAGAGGTCTTGCCTGGCAAATTCAATCTGAGTTACAAAAAATTTAGCTTCGTATATACTTACATATTTATCTTTACATTGTAATGTCTGAGGTGTACACACATATATTTAACTGTGTGCGACATGTATTTATTCTAGTTCCATAGATAGATAGATAGATAGATAGATAGATAGATAGATAGATAGATATAAATATAGATATATTAGTTCTGTGTAATAATCTAAGTATATAGTACCTATTACTTCTGTATAATGTATATCACAGACCTCATAATCACTCAAAGTGGTGTTTCTCTATCTTTTGGATACACTGGTCATCTCTACTTTCACCTAAATTTTCTTGCTGTAGGGCCCTTCCATAATGTGCAAAAACTTTTATACCAGTGTATGAGGCCAGGGAGTTTTAGTATGTTTTTGTAAAGGTCAGTTAGCCAAGTTGGTTTAGCATTAGAACCAATCTTTGAATTATTTGTGTTAGCTTTGTAGTGTTATAATGAAATACCTGCTGAGACAATGAAAACCTAATCCTTCAGTCACTGGCCCATCATGGGGACCAAATGCCTCACACCCACAATTCAACAGAGAAGAGATGTGGCTCATGGTTTCCAGTGGGCTCAGTCCATTGTCAGCTGGCGACACGAGAAAAACAGCATGGTAGAGGGCATCATGGAGGACTGTGACTCAGCTCATGGTAGCCAGGAAGCAGAAAAAGTGAGGAGCAAGGGCCAAGCATAGGTCCTTCCAGGGCACAGCGCTAGTGACCTCACTTCCCATCAGGCCTCTCTTCTGTCAGTGCGTTCACCTGTGATTAATCCACTGATGGTCCAGTCACCTTCATGAAGTCTTGCTTCTGAACACATAAGACTCTTAGGGTACATTCCAGATTTAAACCATAATAACCAATAAAGAGAAAACCTTATTTTGTCCCAATTCTAAAGGTGCCTATCCAATGATTAGTTTGCCCTGTAGATTTGGACATGTGGCGAGGCAGCCCCTCATAGCAGAGCATAGTGGAGCAAGCACACTTACATCATGAGCTGAAGAGCCAAGAGAGGAAAGACCAACATCCCACAATACCCTTCAAGGTCACACCCACGTGACCTAAGCACCGCCCACCTACCCCACCTCCCAAGGTTTCTACCACTTCCCAACAGCACCCTACCCAGCACCAAGCTTCGAACACATCAGCCTCTGGGGGACACTCAGCAACCAAGCCATACTGCTATTTATTGCCCAACCCCCAGGAACTGGGCCCAGTTTTCTGGGGTCCCATCTTGTGATACCTTGGACTATTCGACCCTGACAAGAATGCCTACATCTCACAAGGGGAAAGGAACTGCGGGGAAGCAGAATGCTCTCACTTCATCCTCCCTTAGGATCTGGATCATTGATGTGCAGAGTCCCTCAGACAGGCAAAGCAGCCCTATTTGGGCTTCCTAAATCGTTTAGTGATGCATGTGATTTTAAATATTGAAAATGGTTTATGTTGTCCAGCTTCTAACTAGCTCCTTCCTTTCACTACCACACTTAAATCTGTGCTCTGTGGTTATTCACATCTTTACCTAATTTAACAGGCAAACTTGCAACCTTGTCATGCTGTAACAATTATGCAATCTAGTGATTTCCTTATATGTACCACATTTACTACACAAATTATGTCATTTGACATAATTGCAGCATTTGCTGTCATTATAGTAATTACACCCAAGTCAATAATTCCAAAAAAAGGTTTATAGAATTCAGTATACAATTAATCCTGTACCCATGCATATCTACAAGTAGGAAGGCTTGAGCTTTCAGGTCCTAAGCTGTGTAAAGATAGTTTTTGATTTAATGTTCTCCATGAGTCTACCAGAACTCTACTTAGACTGAGAGTTCCAACAAGTATCTGTGCATATGGTCTAATCACTCTGATGGCATACACATTGCCTGGGTTCAAATTTTACTTCACCTTACTAGCTACTTGACCTTGAAGTAGCTACTAAAATTCCAGCATCTCAATTCCTAAATCTGTAAAGGAAGATAGTAATACCCCTCTCTTGAGGCTATTATAAGTATTTGATGAGCTAATCCATGTAAGATACTTTAAAGGGGCTTCTGCATGTTAAACTCAAAAGTATAAACCACTCTTCCCATAGCAGTCAGGCTGTCTGTGCATAAGCCCTTAACAAATAAATCATTCTATGAAATGAACCTGCATGGCTGAACTATTCATTGAAACAAATATACAAACTACCCCCAGTATTTAGGTTTGTGCACTTTCTCCTTTGAAGAGGATGGAGGACAGACTTGGTCAGAGTCAGGAAATACTGTCCTGTGTGAGACTTAACCTCCTCCTGGTCCGCAGTCACCCACTGGCCCCCTTCTGCCCTGCTGACACACATCTTGAGCTAATCCATGTCAAGATAGCCACTTCCTGCTTAACAAGTGCCATACTCTGCAGAGTGAGTGTTTGTTTTTTTAAATCTGGAAAGAATCAAATTTCATTTTTCAAGTGTAGAATTAAGCCAAATATCTTCATCTCAGAACCTGTCTGAAATAATGTTGGAGTATATTTACCCTCCCCAAAAGGAAGAAAACAAGTTCAGGGCAGGGTATTGGGGTGAGGGGCCTGCCTTACTAACTCTTCCTTGTGTACACGCTAGAATCAGAAGTTGGGTTTACAAAGATAATCACAATCATGATGGGTCTTTCTATTTTCCCACTCAGTGCCTAGGTGTGGTCACTCTGTCAGCTGATGTTTCAATGACTTAGCTCTCAGAGATTCATACCACTCACCCACTCACTCACAAACTAAAGCAGGCAGAGATGCAAATCTTCTCCCTCACATGGAAAACAACTTCGTCTCCATTATTCCCTTCTCTAGTGAGAAATTGACATTCACCATATATGAACTGGGACTGAACCTGAAAAGCCCAATACAACTCCTAGTGGAGAGAAAAGAGCCTGGCGGGTAGCACCAGGCTGACATCAGGAAGAGGTGCTGTCAAGCAAGTGAGGCCAGGGCCCTGAGCAAAGGACTGGAGGCAGGATCAGAATCCAGGAGATTCATGCAAGTAGAGAGAAACACGGAGCATGCCAGGTAGAAAGCAGAAGTCCAGAGACCAAGGTGCCCAAGGAAGTAGGGATCAGGCAGCAGAACCCAGGGGTGTAGTGTGGGCCACCCACCAGGCCCAGCAAAGGGGAGACCTCTTTCCAGATTGGGGACTGTCCCCAAGTCTCCTGCACTAGCACCAATGGGAAGCTTCATTTGGAGAGAGCAGGGCAGAGCCAGGGGGATATGAGTCTGCTTTTTCACAGGTACAGTGATTTCCTGCTCTACAGTTTTTTAAGAAACCCTGCCAGAGTACGTGGAGGGTTGATGAATGTCACAGCAAGAAGCTGTGAGTGCTTTACTAAGCATGAACTGAACTCTTGACTAATTTCCCAGTCTCTGTGCTCTAGAAATGGTAGAATTTGTCAATCTGCCACAGAAACTTTCCCAAACAGTGCCCCAAGTATTATTTGTTCTGTAGTTTATGATTGTTTTTAGAAATACCAGTATTTCACCTGCAGCATATTTTCTTCGATTACTGTGCACAAGCTGTACAGCCTGCAAGCCACATGCAGTTACCCAATAACCCTCAGTGGGAGATGAAAGACATAGACATTTACCGAGACCTCGTGTTGACAAGCAGGCTAGGACAGCATCTCAGGTCATATTTCTAATTTACCTACATAAATGTAGGCCATCTACCTCCCAGCAAATCATCCAGGATGAATGACCTAAGAAACCAGAGTGGCTTCCTGTGTGGCCTTGCTATTCAGTGAATTGTGAAGAACAAGCTGAAGGATTTTTACCAAGTGGGAGCAGAAGGCTCACGGAGCAGAGTAGCTGGAACCCTGACTACATTAGCCAGCTGTTCAGCAGTGTGTTGTGGTGTCACACACACTGCTTGTGCTCTTTGTGGGCTGGTTCTCACCGTATCTCTCAGCAGTGGCCAAGTCTCAGACAAGCCCTCTCTGTGCTTAGAGAGATCATATTTAATATGAGGAACTTGAGCAAGACCAGGATTCACCCATCCTCGTTAGCTGTAGAAACTGATCAAAGGAAACCTCAGGAAGCAGCCCATGTAGACAATAGTTGAAGTCAATCTTCCTGAAGTAAGAGTCAGTGGCCCATTGCTCTCCCAGGTTGCTGGCTCAGCCTAGACCTCTGTCCCAGTTTCTCCAATGGGTGGGCTACAGAGATCTGGAGCTCAAGCACACATGAATGTACAACTTGAAAATCACAGCTCCTTTCTGTCCCTTCAAGCCTTAAGATATTGCCTTATAGTGAAAGCTGCAACCAAAATAAAGCCAAGGTGACAAAAAGGACAGTGAAGCGGAAGACAAAAAGATTTTACAATATGTCCCTATTTTAATCATGATTTTAATTCACTCACAAAATGAGCATTTTCTGAGCCCTTACTGTGTATTGTGATACAGCATTGCAAAGGCAGAGACCCTGTCCCTAGCACCCAGTATTTGAGGAGACATGGGTGGGTGGGCCCTTAACTACAATGGTATGAGGAATGGTGGTGTAGGCAGTGGTCACAATGCAGGAGCTCTAGGGTGGACACAGTGATCAGCAGAGGCTCCGGGGAAGGACACGACTGGCCTGAACCCAGCGCAGGCAGTTGAGGGTGGGGATAAAGCAGTAGAAGCGATCGGTGTTGCAGGCCAGAGGAGAAACACAGTGGACAAAGCTCCAGAGGCAGGGGGTGTGAGGGAGGCTCAGGGGAGCGCTCAGTGGACACCAGCAAGGGAGGGGAACAGAACTTGCATCCTGCAGAGGGAGCCTCCTGCACGAGGAACTGTGGTCCTGAGGCCAGTGCTGGCCCAGGGCAGAGCTGCAGGCAGCAAGATAACCTGCTCTGATGTTTACACACGCGGCAGGTATATCGCAAGCAGAGTGGCAGAAGCTGAGTTGAGTGAGACGTCAGTTGCTAGTCAGCCAAAGGTGAAGTTGGTGGTGACAGTAGGTCATATCAGGACAGCTGGCTCTCTCCTTGATAGAAGATTCATATTTGTCCTTGCTTTATTTACCTTGCCATGCTGTCGAGAAGATGCCAGAAAGTCACATCCTCAAGGAAAGTGCTCCTAACAGCAGCTGCTGCATTGTAGGGGAGACATCACCAAACCAGCAGTCAATGCGACTGACTTCCTAGATAGATGGAGCCCCAAGCAGCTGTAGAGTTACTCACAACCTAGAAGCTAGCGATTGGGCCCCTAGGCTGCTGGGGCCTGTGGAGGCCAGTGAACGTATACGGGCTTCCAGCTTCTGTTTTAGGAAAGTATGTAATAAGTGGGCATCCTCTTAGAAAAGGAAAATATAATACGACACATTTCTGAGAACTTGCATATAACTTATCTTGAGGTACATGGTACCTTTATTTTATAGAGGAAAAGTTCAGATGAAGTAAGTGATCTGCTAAAGATTACCAACTAGATAATATAATGATGAGGCTATATATATATATATATATATATATATATATATATATATCCATTCTGAAGAAAGCACTACTTTTATTTATAACAAACAGTCTATGATGCTTTATTATGTGGAAATAGAGTATTTTCTGGTAAGGCGCATATGCCAAAGTTCGCAATACTTCTTAGAAGAGAAGTGAACAAATCAGGAGTGTATAGCTTAAAGGTGACAAGGGACATCCTCAGTCACATTTTCTGTTCCCTCCGGCTTTGTAGGTGATGGACCGGTGGGAGAGCCAAAGCAGTCCTCAGACCAGTTTATCTGCTCCGGCCATACCGCAGAACCTGCCCTTCCCCCCCGCCCTCCACCGAAGCTCCTTTCCGGACTCAACAGAGGCCTTTGACCCGCGGAAGCCTGACCCATATGAGCTCTATGAGAAGTCGAGAGCCATTTATGAAAGTAGGCGTAAGTGAAAACCAAAAACCAGGGTACATTAATCATAGCTGATGCCCTGCCGGGAGACATACCAAGGTTGAAAGAACTGTCATGCTTTTGTATTCTGAGGTTCAAAAGTATCTCCAAAGTGAAATCAGCTGGCCTGAAATTCTCTTAAAAGTTATTCCCCATTTTATGGTTTTGTGTATTTTTAATGAACAAATAATCATATACATTGATGGGATACAATATGATGGTTTTCCTTTTGGAATGAACAAATCAGAATAATTAACAGATAAAGCACTTATCATTTCTGTGTGCGGAGAACACTGAAAAACCTCTTTTAACTATTTTGAAATATACATCATAATACATAATATATAATATACACTATATTCTCTGTGGTCTTATGCCCTGCTGTATAGTACAACTCAGGATCCTCCAATATAACTCAAACTTTATACCCATTGATTGAAAAAGTCTGTTGATTATAAAAGTAAGTATATCATGTCTTTTGTTTTTAAATACTATTTCTGATTTTTCCCCTAAACCTTGAAGAAAGTAAGAAATTTTAGAATGGGGGAGGAAGTCGCTAGTTTTGTGTAAGTCACCAAAGAAAAAACAATGAGAACTGTTAGTCTGTTGAATCTGGTCTTGAGCAAAGCTTCAATTTTTTCTGCGAGTCTTGAAGGCGGTCAGGGAAAAAGTCCAAGGCCCGAGTAAAATGTCAGCTAAGCCTTCGCAGCTCTCAGCCCCGCAGTCACCTGGACCCGAGGTGGCACCGAGCCCATGCCGACCGTTTCCACCCAGATCCTCTGCTTCTCACTTAATGCGCTTGGGTCCACTTGAGCATTGTCTTGAAATATAGTGTCTGCACTTGCCACCCTTGCGGAAGGTCTTCTTGAATTATTTCATTACACTTTATAAATAATAGAAAACAAAGGCTTTTAATATTGCATGGACATCCGTGCTGCCTCTTTCCGCCGCCTTAAGGTCACACTGTGCATGTGTCAGAGGACAGGAATGTAAATGGCCTGCGTGTACAGACGCCGGGTGGGAAGAACCTGAGCGCGCAGCCGGGGAGCCCAGCGCAGCGGAGAGGGCCGAGGGCCTGGTGCTCCCTGTACAGGCTGCCCTTCCCCTAATGTCCCGCCAATGTCTTGTTTCCAGCTTTATCATCTGAAGCGTGCAAAAGAAGTTTTCAATTGTGTGTGATCTCAAAGAATCTCAAATCTGCTTACTCTCTTGATGAGCTTAGGGACTGAACATTACACACCCAGCTGGTGAAAGGAAAAGCAGGCATAATACCTTTTCCGCACCCTCTCCAACACTTTGTAGAAGTAATTTTGGTCGATTAAATAGGACAGCAGGCCACTGAGATCATTTTTATCTCAGTGAACCTATACTCCCACTTTTAAGTAATCAGCTGCATCAGAGTGACTGCGTCTCATTCTTCCCCTTTGGGATGAACAAGTGAAGTGTCTTAGAGGATTCTGTCATTTATCATCAGTTTCCACAGAGGAAGAACAAAATAAACATTCTTTAGCTATAAAATACAGGGTACGAATTTAGGGTATTAGCACTCACTGAAATGAGAAAATTTGCAACGATATCAGCACAGCTCTTACTGCCTTTTCTCCTTCAGAAGCAAAGTATTTATTCATATCCCCTCCACGCTAGGCCCTGAGGGGTGGCATCAAAGATGCACATGGTGCCCAGCTCTCTCAGTCTAATGCTGAATTAAGAGGAAGGTACACAAGTGGAAAGCAAGATCCCATGGAGGCTCCAACTCTGAAGGAGCAAATAGTCGCAGCATTGTTAAAATAGTGGCCTTGTGTCTTCGCTTTGCTTTGGTTAGATGCAGGCAGCATGAAGAGGCTTCTTTCTGCCTTTGTCTCTTCCTCAGCCATTCCCTTCTGTTCTTCCGTGGCTTCCTGACCAATGCAAAGCTTTATTACTCAGGACACAGCCTATGAGGGAGTTTATTCCCTGGCTTTTCTCTGTGGTGGTCTGAGAACCATGACCCCTTGCAGTCCTGGGAGAATTCTGATTCTCTGCAGGGTAATTTGAGCTCATTGCCTTTCCCTGTCACCTGCGATGACCCCGGAAGACCAGCCTGCCTGTGCCTCCTGGGCCTTCTCTCCCACTCCAGCCCTTTGCCTTGGCAGCTGAAGCACAGCAGGCGTCCGCCCAGCCCTGCGCCCTGCCCTGCCTCTGCTGCTGTGGCCTGCGCACACACCGCTTGCCATCAGCTCTCCTGACCTTGCTGAGGTCACAGCAATGTTGTCAGGTCACAGCACTCAGGAAGCCCCAAGTGGGCGTGCTGGTTTGTTTTCCCTACTTCTCCTCCACCCTGCTATTTCAGAACACTAAATGGAGTACAAATGCAATGCAGAAATCATGGCAAGGTAAGAAGAGCTCAAACCCCGAAGACCCAGGAAATGAAGGGCACAAGCTCTGTGGCAGACAGCAGCTCTTCCCACTTCCAGACACACAAGTGTCTTGGAGGAATGAAAGAGCCTGTCGCCCTCTGTACATTTCCTGCTTCCAAGAATGAAGAAGCGTCTTTCGATCACTAAAAATTTTAGAGCAATACTTTTTAAAAATAACTAATAAAAAGCTCATCTATTTCTCTTCATTTTACAATGGAATTTTATTTACTTTTTTAATACAACGATCATAAAACTTACATACATGCCCCTCCAAAAAAGGACCAGGTTCAAAATTTTGGCTGTGAACCACTTCTATTATTATTCCTTTAAATCATAAATGCAATATTTAGCTTTGGATCTATGTATCCTGATGTGTCTTGATTTTTTCCTGTAAAACAAATCAGCGCAAGGAGGAATATTGTGGAGAGAACACTGTCAGGGCCGGGAGTCTTCTGCCATTTTCCCTGGCTGGCAGTGACCCCTTTACAACCATGTCTAAGCTAAAGAGATGTTTTTCATTCACATTCAAGACTAGGCTGAAGTTCCAAAATAAAATGATAGCCCTCCATCCACAGGTCTGGGCTATACGGAACTACAGAATATTTTATCACGGCTGATAAGAAATGTCTGGATTCAAGTCAGACTTCAGTCCCCTGCCAATGAAGGAAATTTATCAAATGATATCAGTGCTGCAGTGCCTCATTTGAGTCATAATTAGATTATACAGACATTATAATGTGCATGCACAGGACATCTTAATAAAGATGTATTCCTGGGGGGAAATCTGATTTTAAACAAATGAAGACAACCGTGGGATACCAGAGCCACATGAAACAGAACATGACAGGTACATGCTTATGAAAAATGAGCTAGAAACACCTCCTGTCTTCCCAGATCTTCTCCAGATCACGTGGGAGCTGAAGAAAGACAGACAGGGGAAGAATCATCCACCCCAAGAGCCAGCAGTCTCATTTCTTGATATATGAAGCTGCACAGTAAAAATTAAAAAACTAGAATGCTCATAGCTTCTCAAACTCTGTGAAAAACTGGCATGTAATTGGGGAATATGTGCTAGATATTTTCCAACTCTTCAAAAAGAAATTCTTTTCCCATTTACTTAATTCCATTTAAGCTTGTTTGCATACATGACGTACAACCATGACAAGAAAAAGAAAATAATTTAAGTTTTGGATACTAGAGCCTCTAGGTTTTCATGTGAATTACTTAAACATTGATCCTGTGCTGTTACCTGAAATTCTTAGGATCATAAGTATTTCAGATTTTGGACTTTTTCAGATTTTAGAATACTTACATATACAAAATGAGGTATCCTGGGAATGACACCTAAATCTGAAAGCAAAAATCTTTTATGTTTTGTAGACACCTTAGCCCCATAGCCTGAAGAAAATTTCATACAGGACATGCAGTACACCTGTGTTGTGATGACCTCTGCTTTGTTTGGATTATGGGGCATTTAGGATTTCTGGATTAGTGATACTCAATCTGTATCACCAATTCCCAATACCTCCTCTCCTCATTCGTGCCCTACCCTACCAAAGACCACAAATGTCACAGTTCTCTTGTCACTGTTGACTTCTTACTGCCCCTGATACTTAGAATTTTAAAACCTAAAAGCAAAGGGAAAGACCCCTTGGAAGGTGCACCAAGCCAAGCTACTCTTCACTTCCCTCCTCTCTTTTCTTTCCCTCGAGTTACAAAGGAAGAACTGGGCTTGTCTTCACAATTATCAAGTCTTCTGTTTGCAAACGGTCTTCATGTTGGGCTGTGTGAACCATTTCTAACAATAGAGAAAAAATAATTCTAAAGAGTCTATTTTAGGGGCTGGAGATTTGACTCGGAGGTAGAATGCTTGCCGAGGAAGTTGGAAGCCCTGGATTCAGTCCTCAGCACCAAAAAAACAAAAAATAAACCTCCTCTGAAAAACAATTCAACAAAAAAATACAGTAAAATCAAGATTCTATTTTATCCCCTGTCATCTCCTGCCATTTTTCTACCATGTGTGACTAGCCCTTACCTCGAGCACATATTTTTGATATGGTAGGAAGTGTGTTAATGGTCTAGTTACCCATGAACCATCTAGGGTGGCTAGACATGAGTCTTTCTGGGACAGGCCTGGTCTGTGTCTTCCTAGCATAATTATTAATAGCTGCTCTTTTATTCAGTAGAATATCTGCATTTGAATGACAAATTATGTGGTTTCCCTTTATTGATCTATTCAAAAAATCACCATCATTACTGGCCAAAAAAGTCTATATTTAAATGTACAGACTGTGAATAAAAAAATTAATATCTATTCAGAAAGACTTTTTTGGCTAATCAAATTTTTGACTCTGCCTCATTATCCCTAATTTGAGATAAAAGCTAACACTGTCGCTTTTCATAACCAAGCTTGCCCATACCTAGAAATTACATGTATGGCCAGTTCTAAAGCTTGACAAAATAAGCAGAAAAATAGAGGGTGAGGAGCATGGAGAGGTCTCACTCTTGTCACAGAAAGTAAGTCAGAACCCACCTCTCTAGCATCCCAGAACTGAACATCAGAGATGACACTTGGGTAACAACGAATAGTTGTCAGCA